CAGGTGGGGTTGCAGGTGAGACAAGGAATGGAGCCAAGAGTTTCTATCTCCAATCCATGCTCTTACCCCTGGACGTCGTAGGGCCTCCCTGATTCCTAGGAGAGGAGGGAGGAGGGAAAGCAGGGCGGGGGGCGGGGTGGAGTCTGGACACCCCTGCATGCAGGTTCATTTATCAAAGGTGACCCCCGGAACCGAGCCCATGAGGCTAAGACAGGTCACAGAGAGATCCCCTGAAGGAAGAAAGGCAGGAAAAGGTGCCAGTTGGGCAAGTGGTCTGGGGTGGGGGGAACGGTGGGGAGCTCAGAGAGCAAATGCCCAGTACATGCAGGAGACGGGAATTCCCACGGAGCCCCCCTCCGTGTCCCGCAAACATCATCTGGGTTCCACGCTCCTCACAGCCCTCTCCTTGCCTCCAGCCCCTCCCCCATCCGGGGGGTTCTTCTTTACATCTAACTGAAATCTTTCCTGCTGTATCGCCAACAGACCCCAGAGGAAGCACTAGGAGATAGATGCCCCAGCCCTGCCTACCCCTGTCTGCAGAGCTCCCGGCTCAGGGCTGTTAATCCTTCTGACGATTAATTGGCTTTTGTTGGAGGAGAATGAATACCATCTCATCTTAATCTTCCTCATTATTCTCCTTGTTCAGCTGAGTCAACACAAGATTAGGGTTTAATTTATGGGGCAAAAAATAGCTAAGTCATTACTCACCAGGAGATCAGGGTTGGATCTGCCTGGGTGTTCTGTGTTCACTGAATGCCCAGAGATCTGTGGAGATGGAGATGGGCTTGGGGTTCTAGGCCCCAGACCTATTGGGGGCTGGATCCCTGGAGACCACCAGTCCTTCCTAGTCTTATAGGACTTAGATCTCAAAGGACCCAGCCTCTTAAATGTTTCTCAGGAGCTGCTGGCATAAGAGCATCTCCAAAGTGGGACAGAGAGCCCAACTCCTGCAGACCCGGACTCAGCCCCAAGCAATGGAAAGAAATCAGGCTTTGGGTTCAAATTCCACCTTCTGAGGCCTCTTCCTCTGTGGAGAACTGGCCGCGACCAGCCCATTCTGGGTTCTCCCTGGACAATGCTGCCACCTAGTGGTGATTAGAGGAACTAGTCCTTTCTTCCCTCTTACCTCTAGGTGCACAACTAAACATACCATGTCAACAAAAAAAAAAAAAACAGATTTACAAAGTAAATAAATCAGAAAGAGAGGGGACACTTTTTTTCCATTACAAAGTGGCTAAAGGGCTCCACCAAGAAATCTAAAAGGAAATTCATCTTATCTCTCCTGACCTTTTAACCGAGACCGCCCAGAAATACTTAGCACCCAGAAACACTTAGCGTCCCCTGCTTCTCCTGGGACAATGATATGCATAGAAGCCCTGGAGCCCTATGGTCCTTGTCATCTTCAACTCGTTCCACTTTTCTTCACCTTGAAGCCCTTGGCGGCTGCTCTGCTCTGTCCCCTGGCACGTGCCCATCTTTGCTCTTGCACCACAGTGAAGTCGCTAGGACTTGAGCTGGAAACCCAGCCTTGACTACTTACTTACTCATTGTATGACCCTGGACAAGTCACCTAACATCTCTGAGTCTTAGCTCTTTCATCTATAAAAGAGGCCACTGAACAGGTTAAAGGAGCCTGTGGGCTTAGCGCATGAATTAGTACCCTTGAGGTCTCGACAAATGCTTGTTGTTGTCACCATCATCGTTATCGTCATCATCATCATCTTGCTACTCTTGGGAAACTTGGTTTCATCAAGTAGCTTGTCATTTGTCCTAACTCCCTGCCCCTGGCTCCTGCTAGACAGAGCAAAATTTTTCCTTAAAGGACATCAATAGCATACCTGCTTCCTATAGCATTTCTACCTTATAAGACTGAGCACACAGTAGGTGCTCAGGAAACTCTCAGGATTGCCTGCCTACATCTCCAGCCTCATGTCAAACCACTTCCTCAGTTGCTCACTGATCTCCGGCCGTGCTGGCTGCCTTTCTGGTCTGTAAATAAGTTCATTCCCACCTCAGGGCCTTTGCATTTACTACTCCCCCAATGTTTTTCTTTCCCCAGATATCTGCATGGCTACCTTCTCCTCATCATTCATATGTAACTTAGAGAGGTCCTCCCTGGTCACCTTGACCAAAATAGCACTCACATCCTCACTCTCTACTTTGTTTACTATACTATAGAGGTCAAATGTCTAAGTGACTGAGTGACATTACCACCGCTTATTAGTGGCCTCAGGCAAGTTGCTTAACCTCTTTGTCCTTCAGTTTTCTCATCTGCAAAAATGAAATAATAGTTCCCACTTTATATGGTTATTATGGTGAATCAAGATATAGAAAGCTCTTAGAATAGTGTCCGGCATGTCTGTTAAGTGCTCTACCGTGTCAGTAATTATCTTGTTCGTTTATTTAGCTGCTTGTGTTATGTTTCTCCACTAGACTGTGTATTCCAGGATAGCAGAGTCTTTGTCTGTTTTATCCCTCCTGGCAGATAGTAGGTGCTCAGTAAATACCAGTTGATCCTAAAGGATCTTAGGGGACATGAAAGCTTCTCTCTCCTTAGTGATGTCCCTCCCCATGCCATTGGGCAAAGTGACCGGCCTGTCAGCTGTCTCTGGCTTGTGCACTCCCCCGCTGTCCAGAAAAGGCCCCCGAGGTGCCCCCTGCTGGACAGTGTAGGTTTTCCCTTGAAGGACGCTGGTGTCTGCAGTCCTGTAACTGCAGGGTCCTGAGGGGGCCCAGCTCTGCCCTCTAGATTAGAGACAGTGAAGCCGAGGAGTCAAGAGCATGCTCTATGGGGACTGGAACTTGTGTTTCTCCAGTTATTCTGTGTGTCATTTGCCAGGAAAGGATCTCATCCTCAGTGTCCTCATGTGAAGAAGGGGGACAACAACGCCCTCTCTGGGTTACGGAGATGGTGTGACAGGACGTGCCCTGTGCGTGGTGAGCCTTGCGGGCCCACCTCCCCCGGCCCCGTCAGCCCTTTCACGACTCGGAGCAGCTGGCTCGTGTTCCCAAGCTAAATCCTACTAGTGTATCTGACAGCTCCTCTAGCAACAGACACTAGGGAACATGGGTCTGGATCACCCCCTTATCCAAGCCCCTCAGGGCATCTCTGTGGGCCCCGTGCCCTGGGGAGAGACCACAGCAGCCTCAGGGCAGCGAATCTGGCCTCTGGGCTTCTGGCTCTTTCCTCGGAGAGCAGGCATTTGCCTGGAGGCGGCCTTGCTGGGCTTGCACCCTCTTACTCACCCCACCCCCACCTCCCTGGCTGCTGTCTCCCCATCGTGGCCCCAGAGACCGAGGTTTCCCCGGGCCCTCTCCTGCCTCCCTTCGCATTTGTTCTCGGCCCTCACCAATGCCCTTGGCTTTGGCTGCTGGCCACATACACTGCAACTCCTATGTCTCCAGCCCAGAGCCCCAGACCTCTTTCCTGAGTGCCTCGTGAGGAGAGCTCCCCCACCTACAGCACCTTCCGTGCCCCCCAAATTCCTGCCCTGACATCCGGTCCTCACAGGCATTCAGACACAGATTCCTGGCCTCTCATGCCCACTGCACCTCTGTCCAGCCTCCTTCCACAGCCCCAGGTTGGGCTCTGGTCCCTTCCCAACTCATCCCATCTGGCTCCCCACACGCCCGGCCTAGTCCCTCACCCCAAAGTTTCACATTGCCTACTACTCTTTGACTTAAACCTGGGAGCTCCCAGGGGTGACCGTCTTCCTTCATGGCCCCTCAACAAACTGGGCACCCAGGGCAGAGCATCACTTCACCTGTCTGATTTGAAACTCAGGTGGGTGTGGACAGTGCCCTTCCCATGAGACTGTGAAATCCCCTAGAAAGGACTGGGGATACCCATGGAGCTGGGGTTGTGCCTCCACCTTCAGACTGGGCAGCCTCTGAGGTCAGGGCTTTGCCCCACCCCACCCTCCCACCCCCGCCAGACTGAGAATGTCCCCAGAGCAGAGACTGTGCCTTTACCATTAGACTGGAGTCCCTGCAGGACATTGGACAGATCCTTTCCCATGGATCCCTCTCCTTGATGTGGCCAGGCCACTGACTCTTCCTGGGACAAGGAATGTCTTGCTCTCCCCTGTCACTTCAGGGCCCTACACAGGGCCTGGCCCAGGGTCGGGGCTTCAGGAATTGTGAGTGAATGAATGAATGAACTAATCAACAAAAACAGGCAGGCCCCAGCTTAAAACCTGCAACCCCACCTGACCTGCAGGTGGCATCAGGGCTCATAATCAAAGGGAAGCTGGAAAGGCACCGGGATTTTACTGGCCACCATATCAGAGAGGAGAGCAGATGTTTCAAGACCCGCCACCCCCCAGGACCAGCAGCTGAGTCATGGGGAGAGTTTAAGAGCTGCTGGGGAGGCTAGAGAGTGCCTGGCATCACACCCTTCTTCCCCCCACTCCCGCTTCAGCCAGTGCCAGGGGCCAGTGCTGGGCTGGCTTGGAAAATGCCCAATGAGACCAGATGCTAATGACCGGGAGGGAGGACATGGCAGGGAGGACGACATGAAGTGGGGATGAACTAGAGAGAGAAACCAAGTGGAGCCTTTCTGCACCCCCCACCTACGCCTTCCCTGCCCTGTACCCTAGGTCACAGGCAGCCATCCCTGGGCCCAGAAGAATTCGTACCCCAGATGAGGTGTTACCATCAGCCACCATCCTGCCTTCAGAAAGGAATGGGGAAGGGGATTAAGAGAGGCCTGAAGGCCCCCCTCCCCCAACCACACACACTCGGTTCTGGCCTCTGGACAGCTTGGGTGTCAGGCAGGCGCCAGGCCCAGTTCCCCACTTCTTGGTCTCACAATCCCAGCCTTTGTCCAGCTGGCCCAGGCCTGGCTGGCTCTGCACTGGCCCAATGGGCCCTGGAAACCAGAGCAGCTGGAGCCCCACCAAGTATTTTTCCAGGCTGGGCCAGGGGCCCTCAAGAGACAGAGAAGGATGCAGAGGGAGGGGTGTTCATTCTCCCATTGGTTCATTCATTTCTTCCTTGGACAAATAATATTTATTGAATGCCCACTTCGTGGCAGGCACTGTGCTAGGTGTGGGGGATTCAGCGGTGGGCCCAGCCCAGGGCCAAGCCCTCACCCATCTTATTTTCCAGATGCAAATATATGCCAACGAAACTCTTCTCTACCCATGTGGGGGCTGGGTTTGGAGTCGGGGCTGGAAGAGGGGTGCGTGGGATGGGTAAGGTGAGGGCGCTATGACTAAGGCCTGTGTACCCCAGGCCTCTGCCCCTCCAGGGCAGCTGGGGGAAGCTGGACGGGTCCCTCAGGGCTCCACCCACACGCTGCTGTTGGTCACACGAGCCCCAAACCAGCCCTTCCAGTAGACGGAGTCCTGCCCGCCGTGCTCGAAGCGGACGAAGCGAACGCCGGGCCCGTAGTCGGTGAAGGTGTGGGAGATCTGGGGGGTGAGGAGAAGGGTCAGGCTCGAGACCCCAAGTCCTACCCAAACCACCCCACCCTGATGCCCTGACCCGCCTCTAGACTCCTCGATTTCTTAGCCCTGGGTCCCTCCTCCTCGCCTCTGGGCGCCCAGCCCCGCCCTTGGGGCAGGGTTTCCGCAAGCCCCGCCCATCGCCCGGCCCCGTCCCCCCAGGGCCTCCAAGCTCACTTCGATCCAGCCCCCGTCTTCGCTATCTTGCGGCACCGCCACCTGCCCGCTGTTGAACTCGGCCAGCACGTCCTCGTGCTCGGACAGCAGCTTCACCGTGAGCTCGTACAAACAGCCGGCGTCGCTGCGGCCCGAGTACCTGCCCGGAGGAGTGAGCGAGCGCGCGGGCCGAGCAGGCACCCTGGGCCCGGCCTCCTACACAAGGTGACCCTGCGACCAGGGTCCGACGACCAGGGTCCCCACTTTACAGATAAGGAGTTTGAGGCCAGAGAGAGAAAGTGACTTGCCCGAGGTCCCAACTCCAGGACCAAAACAAACAGACAAAAATTGCCAACATTTAAACTCAGGAGGGAAGGTAGATTTCACCTCCCAGAGACCGAGGGCCACGCGGCTTTAGTTCCCCGCATCCCCAGTCCCCCCGGGCCGCTCACCAGTCCTTCACCACGATGGCTGGCTGAGTGGTGTCCAGCAGCTCCTCCCAGTAGCCCTCAGCCTGGAGGTCAATGACCTGCGCTTTGCGACACCACCTGCGGGAGGTGGAGTTAGGAGGGAGCGGAGGTCCCCTCCCCGTCCTTGGCCTCCATCCCCCGTCTGCTTACTCAAAGGAGGAGGCGAAGAACTTCTTGACGCTCTCGTCGTGAATGAATTCCAGCCCGCAGTCTCCCGGCAGATCCTCCACCCTCCAGCCGTCCCCACCGTGCTCCACATCGCACCAGCCCTCCAAGTCCTCTGTAGGAAGACGACAGTCCCACTCTGGCCACCCATTCCCTGCCGAGGGTGCGGCAGCGCTGGCTCTGGCCCCTGAGGTCGAGGCTGGGTGAAATGGTCTTTTAACGGTGTGATGATGGTGGCGTTGAACGGGAGGCGTTTCCTGTTTGTCCCAGATTCTCTTTCACTCCTGGGAGAGTCCTGTCTTGCCCCCCGGCTCACAGAGAGTGGAAGGACCTGGGAAAGAGACCCACTCCCCTCATTCCCCCAGGGAGCAGGCAGACGAGGAAATAATAATACGATGATTGTTGGGACTACTCTGTGCTGGGCATTGTGCCAAGCGCTTTATCTCATTTAACCCTCAAAGCAGGCTAGCACTGTTTGGCCCATTTTCCAGAAGGGAAAGCTGAGCCCCGCAGCCATGGGATAATAGGTCCTGACCCTCACCTTCCCCGCATGGGTTGCGCAGCAGGTTGCGTCGCCTCTTGCTCAGGAAGTAGAACTGCTGCCAGTGGTCTCGCTCGTCCTCCGCGCCGCCCTCGGGCACCAGCCCCTCCTGCTGGCACTTGAGCAGCCACAGGGGGGCGCCGTCCACCAGCTCCTTCCAGCGGAGGCACACCAGGCGGCAGGCCTGCACGAGCTCCGCAGCCGGCAGCTCCGCCAGCACGCGCAGCAGCAGCGGCTCCGGCAGCTCGTCCAGGTACGCGGCTTCCTCCTCCTCCTCCTCCGGCCGCTCCTCGCCGGCATTCGACTCCTCCGCACACGCCTCCTCCTGCTGCTCCTCCGGGCTTGCCTCCTCCGGCTGGCCCACGCTTTCTATGGGCAGGTGCGGGGTGGGGGAGTGGAGGGGGGCCGTGACTCCCCCTAGACTGTCCTCCCCCACGCCCCAAAACCGTGATGAATCGGGTACCCATCCCCGACCCACCCTCGGACAGTCCGGAGCTAGGGCCAGTGGAGGAGGCACAAGGGAATCAGGGCCACAGACCAGCCTCAAGTCCGAAGAGTGGCCTCAGAGGCCTATTTCCCCTGCAGGGCCAGTACATCCCACAGAACTGGGATGAGCGGATAACAGAACTGATACTATTAATAACAAGACTGCCTTAACGTTTCGCATATGAACTACTTTAATCCTTCCAACCACGCTCTGACAGCCCGGCTTCTGGCACTTCCTCCCAGACGCCCTCCCAGACTTCCCAGTTACATCCTCTCGCTGCTGGAGTTCCAGTCCTTCCCAGGTTCGTCCTAGGGTGCATGGTTTATAAACACCTTCCTTGGGACTAGACTGAGGACATGAGGACAGAAACCAGGCCTGGGAAAGTCACTGCTTCATTCCTGGTACCTGGCGTCTGGCACCCTGCCTGGCGCGCTCGCTGTCAGCAGCCAATGTTTATTGGGCGCTTAGCAATTGTAGGTACCGTTCTGAGCATTTTAACTTGATTTCCTCTTTAAAGCCCACGGCATCTGTTTGAGGTTGTTCCTATCACTGTCCCTATTTCACTGATGAGGGAACTGAGGCACAGAGAGGTGAAATGGCCCAGCATCACACGACAAACAGCTGGTTGGAGCCTGGCTTTGAACCCAGGCAGTCCTGCCTCCGAGCCACCTTTAACCACCACACCTGGATAAAAATAATTCATGGAATTACGAGGCACTGTTATGATTTTGATGCTGCAGATGAAAATGCTCAGGCTCAGATGAGAAGTGACTTGCCAAAGGTCGCACTGCTAGTATTAGGGCAGGGGACATGGGGATCTGAGGCCTGAGGGGGAGGGAGAATGGGGCCGTATGACTTGGTGATCAGGGAGGAGGGCTTGTTAAAAGAGACCGTGTGCCAAACAGGGAGATGTAATAAGTGCTTGGGAAAGGAAGGTTTCTTGACTCCTTTTCCTATCCGTGGCCCTCGGTTTCCTCATCTGTAAAATGGTGGTAATCCTGGTGCCAGGCCATTCAGACAGTGCTGATGTTCAAATCCCCTGACGAGGGGGCAAATGTCAGGAGGGGAACAGATGTCAGGAGTGGCCGGCTAGACTGCCTTCTGGATCCCAGCCAGCCTCAGCTAGGCCATGGAAGCCTTGAGTAAGCAGACGTCAGGTACTCCAGTGTCTCTGGAGGGAGAGACTGTGAGGACTGTGAGGAGACAAGGCCACTCTGGGTGACGGAAGAGGCCACAGCTCCCAGACTGGACGTCAGGTACTCCAGTGTCTCTGGAGGGAGAGACGGTGAGGAGACAAAGCCGCTCTGGGTGACGGAAGAGGCCACAGCTCCCAGACTAAGGATGGGGGCGTTCTTAAGGGTTGGACCCTGGAAATTCAACTATCAGGTGATAGTTGAAATAGGCCAGGCACTGGGGCAGGGAATAGGCAAGGCTTGGACCCAAGTCTGAGTGTTGCCAGGAGCTCGGCCTGCCAGCCCTTCACCTCTTCACATGCAGCATTCTCCCTGTTCCCACACAGTCAGACCCTTGAGAGCTAAATCAGGGTTTACCTCTTCAGAGCCCAGAGCACACAGTGAGTCCTCACTAGATCTTATTTCGTGAACATTATTATTCGGCACAGCACATTCCCTTCATTATTAGTTTTTCATTTTGTTTTGTTGCCACATCTTTCTGATGTGGTGCTTTACCCTCTCCCTTTTGGCAAAGAGGAAACTAAGGCCCAGAGAGGCTTTCTGGCTTCTCCCGAGTCACATCGCAAAACAATGGGCAGAGAGGAAAATGCCAGGCCTTGAAGCCACATCACCTGCCTATCCTGCTGCCCACAACTCTCTGGGGAACAGAGCCCAGTGTCCTCACCTCTCCACCCCTCCCTCTGCCCTGCCCTGGCCCTGGTGGACACCTGATGCTCTCCCGAAAGGTGCACCTCGCCCAGTCCCCTCTCCTGGCCCCAGGCCTGGCACTTGAGGCCCTAGATCTGATTACAGGCCCCTCACCCCTGCTCAAGCACACACAACTCCCCACATTGTTGCTGTCGGAAAGTTATCTGGCTCCTGGAAGCTGCCTCCATGGCTGATTCACTCATGTGGATTGGGCCCTGGAGTCCAGGGAATAGCTGGGCCCTGGGAAAAAAGCGGGAGCCCATCCTGGGGCCATATGAAAGATGTGGCAAGGGGGCCTTGGATTGGGAGTAGGAGCTGAAGGAGCTGGCAGTTTCAGGGCTGGGAGGGGGCGCTTGGCTACCTGAGTGCGCATTAGTCTGTTCCCTATTGCCTCCCCACTCAGTAATGCCCACTCTCAGATGAGCCAGCTGAGAAAGGGGTGGGGAGATCTGCAGGCAGATCTGATCCCACCCTGACTCAGCAGGCAACCCCTACAGGCCCAGCCAGCTGGAGGGATGGGGAGGGGGTTCTCTGGTGCCAGACAAGATGACTGGGCAGTCTCAGAGGGCCCTAGCATGAGCTGGCATCCCAACTCTCCCTCACTACTGGCCTGGTCCCCACTGGGAATCTGGCCACTCAGATGAAGGTGGCCCCTCCAGACAAGGGAGTCCTGGAGGAAGGCCGGGATGGGGGTGGGGAGAGGACCATAATGCCAAGAAATCCGTGGGGATTCAGGCGCCTCAGGAGCCAGAGCTGGCAAATGCAAGAAGTTGATGGAAGAAAAAGGCTTGCAAACCTCCTCCATCCCAGATGCGTCCCGAACTCCAAACCAATAGACCCTCAGGGCGCTGGGAGGCAGGAACATGGGATTACTCCAATGCCATTTTCTGGGTAAAGGGGACCCAGGAGTCCTCCCTACCTACCTGTCACCTCTTGAGGCCTCCCACCAGACCAAGATACCAGAGAAATGTTCTCTTTTGCGACTGTCTCAAGGGCTTTGCTTAGGCGAAAGTTTGCGGCGCTGGGTGTCGAGCCTCCCCCCTCCTCTGATGCCCCCTCTCGGGAGCACTCGCCTGCCCCGGTCTCCCCTCCCGGGCTGAGCGAGTGGGTTCGGGCGACGGCTACCTGGATCACCGTCTCCGTCCATCGCAGTCGGGGGCGGTCGCGAGAAGAGGAGGAGCGGGAGCGCTGCGGGGCTGTCGGGGACCCGCGGCAGTGACGAGTCCAGGTGCTGCCCGCGTCTGGGTCGGGTCCCGGCCCGCCGCGCCTCTTAAAGGCGCCCTCCTCTGTCCCCGCCCCGCCTTTGGCCCCGCGCCCGGACGCCCCGCAATACGAAGCGGTCGGCCGGAGGCCTGAGGCTGCAGGTTCCTCGCTGGACCCAGGAGGCCGGGAAAGGTCAAGAGTCGGCTTTTTTTCTTTCAATGGGGGGTCCGATTGGAGGCGTCTCCCAGCTCCCTCCTAGGGTGGCCGCTGCGAGGAGGAGGCGAGGGGGCAGGGAAGTCTGGGTCATGTGGAGGATGCGGGGAGTGCGGCCGAGGCCGAGCGGGGGTGCAGAAGCTCCTCCCGACACCCCTCCCCCCAACCCCGGGTAATTTTCCTACTTCGCGGTAGGGGGCGCGTCCCAGGTCCCGCGCGCCTCGGTGCAGCGCGGATGGAGGCGGGCGGTGGAGGCTGGGCCAGCAGGGCCGGGGCGGGGCCTGGCGGGCCGGGGCGGGGCCGCATCCATCCGCGATCCCGGGCCCAGGCAGGCTCAGCACCTGCCGCCGAGCGGGATCGTGCGCGCGTGGCTGAGCTCAGGTGACCGGCCAGGGTAGGCGCGGGCGGGTCAGGGTCTGGCGGACGGGCTCGGGGGACGCGCCGCAGTGAGCGGAGGGAGGCTCGGGGAGACGAGTCGCAGGTTGCGGGGGCTGCGTGGCAGGGCCTCCTGCGGCGCGGGCAGAAACCCGGGCTGGGGTCGCCCTGGAAGCGCAGGGTTCCGAGCCCCGACTTTGGGGGTGGGGGGGATATTTTAAAGTCACAACACGGTGGGAGGCCGAAGACGCGCAAGGGGTCCTGGGGCTGCAGCTCAGCCGCGGGGATGGGTGCGAAGGCGTAGGAACGGCCTTTTCCCACCGCCCTCCCCTTCTCCAGTCCTAGCATGGCAGAGCATTTTCTCTGCGGTCTTGAGTCGCTTGAGCCCTTCGGACCTCTGTCGGAGACAATAATTATTCCTGTCCCCAACATCCCCCCTCCGTCCGTGTTGAGGACGGGAAAGAGAATGCAGAAGGCACGGGACAGGCTGGAGGGTTCTGCGGAGCTGCGCATTGTTACTCCTCCTTCTCTGCTCTGTTGCTGCCTGTGTGACTTTGGGCAGATCCTGCCATCTCTCTGGACCTCCCCAGCCTCCTTTACAGGCTGTTGTGAGGTGCCAGTAAAAATATATATATATATGATCAGAGCTCGCCTCTAACAGCTTCAGTTGTCTGTGTCCCAGGCTCCTTGAACCCTCCCCCCGGGAGGTAAGTACTGTTCCTGGCCCCATTTTACAGAGGAAGAAGCTGAGGCTCAGAAAGGCACAGCGACTTTCCTGAGGCAGTGAATGGAAGACCTGGGATGGGAACTTCCACCACCATGGGGTGCAGCAAATGCCAGGTCTTGGGGACAGGGCCGGGTCTGTAGCTTCGCTTTTCAATAATCACAGAAGAGTGTCCAGAAGCCAGGAGCCATGGCCATGGGGAACATCAACGAGCTGCCTGAGAACATCCTGCTGGAGCTGTTCACACACGTGCCCGCCCGCCAGCTGCTGCTGCGCTGCCGCCTGGTCTGCAGCCTCTGGCGCGACCTCATCGACCTTGTGACCCTCTGGAAACGCAAGTGCCTACGGGAGGGCTTCATCGCAGAGGACTGGGACCAGCCTGTGGCCGACTGGAAGATCTTCTACTTCCTACGAAGTCTCCACAGGAACCTCCTGCACAACCCATGTGCTGAAGGTGAGGTACAGAGCGGGTCCAGTGTGCCCCCATCACACACACACTGTCAAGGTACCAGCTGACGTTTATTAAGCACTTACCATGAGCCAGGCACTCTTAATGCCTTTAATCCTCACAATCATTCTGAAAGGTAGGTTCTGGAAATGCATTCATTTTTCAGATTAGCAAACTGAGGCCAAAAGTGGCATTTCTTATTCCACTCTTATGTCCCCAGTGTGGCCTTTCCTAGGAGAGGGAATGTTGGCCAGTTAGGACCGCTCATGCCCTAGACACAAAACCAGGAAGTCAGCCATATTTTGTTGGCCTAGTTCCCAGACTCTAGGGCAAGCTAGGCCTGCTAGGACTGTCACAGAGGCCGAAGGGGGCTTTGCTAATAGGAGCATGAGAGATCCAGACTTCTTTCCACCACATTACAATAACAAATAAATCAAGACTTCTGCAATCATCCAGAACCCCCTTTTTGCCTTGCTATATTATAACGTGTCAGCTGGACACTGGGATGGAATGGGAACCTCAGTCTCCATCATATGGCCAAATTCTATAGAAAAATAATGATAAAACAACTCCAAGCCGCCCAGAGCTTTTAGACGCCTGCCTCACGTGACTCCCCAACAGCCATGTTCCTGACCAGCAGTTGGCACACCATGGTCCATGAGCCACGTCTAGCCCAGGAGCTAAAAATATTTTTCACAGTTTTATAGGGTTATATAAAAAAAATACCTATGGGATAGAGACAGTATGTAGCCCATAAAACCTGAAATATTTTGACCTTTACAGAAAAAGTTTGCCAGTCCTTGTTCTTGACCCCAGTTTCCAGAGGACAAAACCAAGGCTCAAAGAGGGAAAGCATCTTGCCTAAGGTCACGGAGCCCACTGTTGGTAGAGCAAGGACTAGCCCCAGCTCTGGCCAGTGTCGGAGAGTTCTCTATCACAGAAGGGGGCTGGTCGTTTATATCATCGCGTGTCTCAGGATTTGCGGTAGAAGTCACTGACCATGGTACCTGACACACAGAAAGCACCTAATACAGGGGGACACTATTGATCTACAGTCTTCCACAGCATGGGGCTCAAGGACAACTGCCGAAATCCAGGGAAGAAGGGCCCCTTGGGAGAAGGTGACCGCTGGGGGCTTCCCTCTAACGTGAGCTCTGCTTTCCTGCCAGAGGGGTTTGAGTTCTGGAGCCTGGACGTGAATGGAGGTGATGAGTGGAAGGTGGAGGATCTCTCTGGAGACCAGAGGAAGGAATTCCCCAATGACCAGGTCAAGAAATACTTCGTGACTTCTTATTAGTAAGATCCAAGGTCGGGGGGTCTTGGGGTGGGGGGAAGCCCAAGTCACTGCACCCTGGGATCTCTTCTGCTCTGGGAGGGCAGTCCTAGCCCCCCCGGTGCCCTAGTGGTGAGCCCCAGCCCCTCCCACCCTCCACCCACCCCCAGCACCTGCCTCAAGTCCCAGGTAGTGGACCTCAAGGCTGAAGGGTATTGGGAGGAGCTGATGGACACCACACGGCCGGATATCAAGGTCAAGGACTGGTGAGTGCCTGCGGTGAGGGTCTGGGGGAGGGGCCTGCCACTCAGGCACCCCATCCCCACCCTGCCTCCCATCTCCAAGGCCCTACTGGGTCTTCCTCTCTGCCTGCAGGTTTGCAGCCAAACCAGACTGTGGGTCCAAGTACCAGCTGTGTGTTCAGCTCCTTTCGTCAGCGCATGCGCCTCTGGGGACCTTCCAGCCAGACCCAGCAACAATCCAGCAGAAGAGCGATGCCAAGTGGAGGGAGGTGTGTGGGCCAGAAAAGGGGCAGGGGGCACATTGCCCAAGGCTGAGACTGTAGCCACGAGGTCTGGGTTCAGATCCCAGCTCTGCTGCTTCTCTCCTGGGCTTCGGCTGCTCTGAGCTCTGAAATACATCAGTGAAATGATGCTGGTAAAGCCATATTCAAAAAGGTTGACTTATTAATTACTAATATTGGTTATTACTATTATCTAGGCCGGGGTCAGCGAATGTTTTCTTAAAAGGCTAGATACAAACATTTTAGGCTCTGTGGGCCGTACTGCGTCTGTCACAGCTATTCGACTCTTCTTCAACTCTGCAGTTGTGTTTTGAAAGCAGCTTTAGCAAATGGACATAGCTGTGTTCCAATAAAACTTTATTTACGAAAATAGGCAGTGGGCTCCTAGGCTAAAATGTGCCAACTCCTAATCTAGACCAGTGCTGTCCAACAGAACTTTCTGCAGTAATAGAAATGGCCTGTCTGCACCGTCCAGTATGGTAGTCGATAGCTACATGTGACTATTGAACAATGAGAGCCAGTTCCTAATGCGACTGAGAAACTGAATTTTTGATTTTATCTAATTTTAGTTCATTTTCATTAAATAGCCACACTTGTCCAGTGATGACCGTATTGGACATCGTTTGGCAGCTTGCAAAGTTTCCTTCAGTTCTCCTGAGCTGTATTTGGATAATCCTGTGGAGTGGACCCTCCAAGATTTTACTCCATTTTACAGAGGAGGAAACTGAGGCATAGAGAGGGGAAGTGGTCTGCCCCAAATCACAGAGTTATTGTTTAAACTCAGTTCTTCTGACTCCTGGTCCAGCACTAAGCTATTAGCCCCTTCCTTGTCCCCCTGCCCCTGCAGGCAGTGCCACCACCCTCAGGGACAGCTCCCCTGACCTCTCCCTCCCTCCATCTGCCCCTTCCCAGGTCTCCCACACGTTCTCCAACTACCCACCCGGCGTCCGCTACATCTGGTTTCAGCACGGCGGCGTAGACACTCACTACTGGGCCGGCTGGTACGGACCGAGGGTCACCAACAGCAGCATCACCATTGGGCCCCCCACTGCCCTGATGTCCCCGAGCCCCCATCCACAGAACCCTGACTGGTAAACTTCTCTCAGAGAAAGGCTGGGCTCGGGAAGGGGAGGTGGACCAGGCTCCCCCAGACCTCCTAGTTCATCCTTGCCCTCCAGTCACCTCTTCTTTATGAGGCTCTTGGTTCATGTAGCCCCCACATGCTGCAGGCAGCCAGCTCTCCACCCGAGGGCTCAACCTGAATGATGGTGAGGGAGGCCTGTGTAGGCACTTTTAAGAGCTAGGGCCCCTGAAATTAGAGAGGTACAGGGTGTTCCCCCAGGCTCCTCCCCCTAACTCCTCTAAGAGTGGGTCTCCAAACTCAGATCTATGTTTCTACCTTCCCCTCCTGGACCCTTTCTCCCTATCTTTTTTGGGTGTCCCTGGAGCAGGGACAGTCAGGAGGACATCTGTCGAGCCTGTGGCTGGGAGGTGACTATGTAGCTCAGATAGATCCGAGAGTGGAAGGAGGGCTCTTCTGGCCTGTCCTCTCCCATTCTGCTGCTCCCAAGCTCTCACTATGCCTGCCCACTCAGAGCGGTGGCTTTGGCCCAGAGGCTCAGGCCTGGTCTCAGCTGGACAGGCCCAGGGTGGGGTGGGGTCCGTGCCAGGTCTGCACTGTTCACATTGTCAATGAAGCCTCAGAATCCAGATGGGGTTGGGGGTCTCCAGAAGACCCCCGGAATCCTGTGCACGGTAACCCAGGGCCGGTGGGGGCAGGACTGGTTTCCGATTCTGAGAGCTAGGATGTGTGAGCAAAGGACGAGTGGGGTAGGGGGTTTTCAAGGACTGTCTGTCCCCCGCCATGCCTAGGCCAGGCTCCCTGTGGCTTGGAGAGTATTCCAAGTCCCCACGCCACCCAGGACCTCCCCTCCCCTCCTGCTGGAAGGACAGCAGTGCTCTGCTTCTGCCCCTGCTGCATGTGGCCAAATAAAAGGTTTTCCCAGCCCAACTTGTGCCCTGTGGTTTTTTGCAGGAAAGGGCAAACTTCATGGGAGGTCCTAGACTTGCAGAAGGTGCAATATAGTGTGGCTTCTGTTCCAGGTACAGAGAAGGGTTGACATTTCAGGAGCAAGACCATCGCAGAACCAGGGTCATGGGACACACCCCTCGATAAGCTGCAAACAGCCCACCCCAGCAGTCCCCAGCACTACCAGCTTCCTCTGGGGCCCTGGCCACAAGCCTGGGGGTAGGGGCGTGGATATCCCTGGGAAGCCCTTGTGTCCACCTTATGCTGGGTCAGCAGGGACATATCGGCCACTTCTTACCGGTGTTTCCAAGAGCTTTACTGACATTAGATGAAGCCAAAGCATTTAGAACGGTGCCTGGCACATAGTCGGTGTACAACAAATATTGTTTAAATATAATTATCTTATTCAACAGTGAGCTAGATTAGGACCTCAGCCAGGGCAGGGACCACCACTCACTCGCTGTATGGCAAGTTAGCAAAAGGACAGACACCCTTCCTTGGAGAAGATACTGCCCTAAAGAGTTAATGCAACCTGAGCCAGGCACCCTTGTGCAATGCACAGCATGCACAACACTTTGTAGTGGCTTGAAGTACCAGGTACTCGATAATTACTTGTTGAAAGAGGAAAGAAATTAATGAATTTAATGCCGACGAAAACGCAGAGATGTTTATCTTTGAGTCAATTAGGGCCAGCCTTAGTCACGCTCTGGAGAAGGCAGGAGCCAGGGGAAGCCACTTTCACTTTTAGCAATCACCCTCCAGGGAGTGGCTCGCGGGCCCAGGCCCGGGAACCGGTCCCACCCACCCTTCCTCTTCTGGGGTACAGACTGAGGTATGAGGAGTGGCCCTCGCAGGGGCGGGGGCTTGGTTAGGAGGAGCCTGGGGCTTTCCCGGAGGCAGAAAGAAGCGAAGAGAAAGGATGGGTCCCGGCTGCCGAGCCCCCTGGCGGGGAAGACGCGTTCGGGAAACGAGGTCCTCCGGTTCCCGTGGCGCGACTCGGGCCCTGAGGACTCCAGACCCCCTTTCCCGTGGCCCGCCGTCCGTCCCGCGAGGCCAAGGTCACAGCCCGCTGAGCCCGAGGGGGGCGGGCCAAGCGCGGCGCGC